CTCGGGTCGCTCTGTAATGGCAGTAATAATAGTAATAACCCTTGAATTTTGTTCCGACGTCTCGGTGCGCTTCGCAGGGTACAGCGTAAAGGGGAGCGACCGCGTGTTTTGCGGGCGACACGCAGCAGCCAACCGCGCACGGCCACGTGCCCACAAACAGTCAACGCAGGGCCGAGCGGCACTTTTTTGGAGCTCGGCGGTCCGAGCGCTCGCCTGGCGGGCGGGGGGGCCTGGGTTCGATTCCCCCCGGCCGGGGCGAAATGTTGGGTAGGTTTCCTCGCTCCGCTGCGCCCGCAGAACATATCCCGTGAAGCGCTTTAAGACGTCTCGAAGACCTGATAAGGCGCCGGGTCAAATGCGAGGGTTATTATCATGTTATCTATTACGCGCAGCTTCGCTCCAGCGGGGGGAGCGAGCACTAAAGTACGAGGACAAAGGCTGAGCGGCCTCTTCGCTGACCCCGCAAACTCGCTCTGATTTCTCGGATATTTAGGATTTTGGGGCGTAAGTCGCTTATTACCCTTTCGACTTGAAAGAATTGCAACAACTTCCATCAGCCCGTTCATGCGTCTCTGCCCATCCCGAGGCAAACTGTTTTTTTTTCTCTCTCTCTCTCTCTCTCTCTCTCTCTCCGAGATGCGATGTGACCTATTTTCTGGGAAGGCATTTGTCAGATGGATTCTTAAAGAGCGGCGAGAGGGATTTGTAACTGACACGGCCCGGCTGCTGTGTGCAGCATCACCTCCAACCGCAGTGCCTCTGGCTGAGCGCAAATAATAATAATAATAATAATAATAATAATAATAATAATAATAATAATCCTTGCATTTGACACAGCGCCCTATCACCGTCCTCAAAGCGCTTCACGGGACACGCTGCAAAGCGCAGTGGCTGTATGTTTTGTGGGCGAAACGCGGCAGCGGATTGCGGACAGCGGCGTTCCCCCCCACCCCCCCCCACCACCACAAACTGAACTACAGGGCTCCATAACTTATTATGTTACAGTAAACCTCACGTAAGTCGTATCAGCTGGGACCGTACGACTTTTAACATGGTATTTAATGTGACTTATGCGAGGTCTGAGCTTACTGGCACGGAATATAAACTCTTGTGACCCGAGAGGGACGTGTTGATCGCAGAGCGAGTGGAACTCACCTCAAGCACAGGAACAGCGTGAAAGCAATGACGAGCGCTCCGATGGAAATGCAGTGCCCCAGGTAGTTGATGATCAAAACGACCTTGTAGTGGACCTGGTATTTACCCTGTGGGGGGGGGGGGAGAGGGGGGGGGGGGGGGGGGAAAAAACACAAAAGCACTTTTAACCCAACAAGAGCGCCAGAGAGAGACGACGGTGTCAAGTGGATCGACGGCGTAACTTGTGGGTGTATCTCGTCTGCCAATATTTTGAGGGATTGTTACCCCCAGAAAGTGATCCGTCGATCGACTAACGACCTGTTTAGTATCAGGTAAACAGAGGCGTGTGGAGTAAGGCGACTTGCCCAAGGTTTCTCCCCGCCCGGGGATCGAACCCGGGTCCTCTCGCTTGCGAGGCGAGCGCTCTGACCGGGACTCCGCCTGACGTAAGGTACACTTTCGGGGATACCCACGAGGTCCCCGGACTGCGAGCTTCAAGTCCCCAACATCGGGCTTTGAACCCACAACCTTCTTGGCCGGGACGCGAGATGGACAGCTACGCTAAGCAGCAATCTTTTGTCAAGCACTTTAAAAATGTCTGGCGGTTGTAAGCGAAGGATAAATCATTAGTTATTTATCGGGCTTCGGTCTATTTTAGTCCGCAGCCGAATGAAAGGTTTTCCATTCACCACACCAGTGTTATTCATCCCATCACATGTCTCATTTTACTCCCCCTTCCCCCCTTCCCCCCCCACCCCCACCCACCCCATCGCCCTCAATCATACAGAGTCCTGTAGCTCAGTGATTAGAGCCTTCGCCTCGCAAGCGAGAGACCTGGGTTCGATTCCCGGTCAGGGCGAAAGTTAGACAAGTCTCCCTTACCCCCCCCCCCCCCCACACACGCGCGCGCGCGCGCCTCTGTTTACCCGGCTGGACGCGATTCGCCCGCAAAACGCGCACACGATTCACTTTCCAGGACATCCCGCGGAGGGTTTTTAGACGTTTCCGACGTCGTGATAAGGCAAACGCACGGAATATCATTATTATTATTATTATTATTATTATTAACGTCTCATCCGTAGAATGGAGGCAATGCAATGCAGCGTCCGGGTTTGGGTTTCGAGCGGAGGAGCGGAGGAGACTCTGATGCCAGATGGAGAGGGGGTAGATTGGGAGACAGCCTTGTTTCAGAGAGGGGGGGGGGCGGGGGGGGGGGGGCACAAGGCTGTGTCAGGTTCGCTGCGGGCGGAAGGTGTCGAGAGGGAGAAGGGGCCCAAGGAGGAGAGAGCGTTCGTTGTGGGACTCGTGGGAGGGTGGGTGGGGGGGGGTGTAGGAGAAGGCGCGGTCGAAGAGGAAAGGATCCCCACCACCCCCTCCTCCTCCCCCCTTATACCAGGGGGTGCATGGGAGAAAGATGGTGGAGGGCTTGGAAGAGGGGAGCGGTTGGGGGGTGTGTGTGGGAGGCGAGGAAGATGAGGACACGGGCGTTTGTCAAGTCTGTTTAATCAGCCATTACCGGCTCTGTGCGCGAGCATTTCACTGACGTTAATGGAAGAAAACCACTTGAGCATATTAGGAATATTTTATACCTCGACAGCTCTGCAGCATTGTGCCCGAGTGGGATCTACACACACACACTGTGTCGGAGAGACTGTGCCCACAAGCGCTAACCACAATCATCACAACAATCCCTGCATTTGGCACCGCGCCTTATCCCGTCGTCGAGACGTCTCAAAGCGCTTCACTGCAAAGCAAACCGACTCTGCGCGCCTTGCGGGCGAAACGCGGCGGCCCACCGCGCCCGGCGGCGTCTCCACAAACAGCCGCGGATCGAGAGGTTACACCATTGTTATTTTTATTTGAATTATTACCCCCCCACTCCCTCCCCCCCCCCCCCCCCAGATCCCGCCAATCGACTAACACAGCTTCACAGCCCAGAGCAGATCCGAATGGTCATCATCTCTCATCGGTATTCATTCCCCCGTTGCAACAACAACAACGACGACGACAACAAATTGGGAGTTCCTTGAGGAGGGAGCGGGCAAGGATGATGACAGACCCAACATCTTGAAATCCCTGAGGGGGTGCAGTTTGAACCCACCAGAACAATACGGCACCCTTCACGCAGGGCAGGGTCTCGGAGGGCTCAGCCTTCTGGCCGGCAAACAGACGGAGAAGAATGGTGACACTGTTCATCAAGTAAGTTGCTTCATTGAAAACCACAATTTTACAAGTCTTTGATCGACTCTCGGAGTAAGGCCAATCGCTCTCTGATATGGCCTCGATATGACCCCCCCCCCCAATCCAGCCCAGCCTCCAGTCATGGTACATATTGGCTCTTCGACCCCTCGTGCCCGCGTCTCCGCTAAAGAGAGGTCCTCTCTCTCTCTCTCTCTCTCTCTCTCTGTGTTCTCCTACGTGATGAGGAGCTGTATCAAATGATTATTGTTTTCGTAAATGTGGTCTCCGAATCTGCCTGATCCAAAAAAAAACATCTCCCCGATAGTTTTTGAGGACCTCTGTCAGGACTCCTCTCTCTCCCTCCCCTGAACAGCCCCGGGTTCTCCAGTCTGTCCTCGTTTCTCTCAGCCCGACAGTCATCCTCGTGAACCTCCTCTCTCTCCGCGGACTTCATGTCCTTTCTTAAAGTGGAGCAATCAGAACTGGACACGATGACCCAATTTCTCTCTCCCACCCCCCCCCACCTCCCCCCCGACGTCCAAAATTTTCAGCGCATTCAAATCCTGCTGACAGTCACAAATAGTTTGATTAAAGAAGACCCTTTGGCTCATCTGATCTCCTCCCTCCAGAACCCCCGCCCTACCCGCTCCCCCATCACAGCATCGAGCAGCGGTTCAAACAGGTCCCAGTGTCTTGGCCTCAAGTCAATTTATGTTATATCCTGTGAAGCGTTTCGAGACATCTCGAAGACGTGATGAGGTGCGGTGTCGGATGCAAAGTTTATTATATTATTACTATCGAGAGAGAACGAAGGGAGAGGGAGGGGTGGAGGAAGAAGATAAGGGAGAGGCAGAACAGCGAGTGAGTGAGTGAGTGAGTGAGTGAATGAGTGAGTGAGTGAGTGAGTGAGGGAGTGAGTGAGTGAGTGAAGGAGGGAGGGAGGGAGGGTGGGAGGGGATGGAAGATGTGGAGCGGGAAGAAGGGAAGGTGAGAGAGGGAGGGAGATTGATGGAGAGGGTGGGAGAGAGATGGAGAGGGAGGGAGGAGGGATGGAGAGGGAGGGAGAGGGAGGGAGACAGAGGGAGAGGAATGGAGAGTGATGGAGAGGGAGGGAGATAGAGGGAGAGGAATGGAGAGGGAGGGAGAGGGAAGGAGGGAGGAAGGGAGGGAGAGAGGGAGGGAGGGAGAGAGGGAGGGAGGGAGGGAGGGAGGGAGAGAGAGGGGGAGGGAGAGTGATGGAGAGGGAGGGAGAGTGATGGAGAGGGATGGAGAGGGATGGAGAGAGAGGGAGAATGATGGAAAGGGAGAGGGAGTGATGGAGAGGGAGGGAGAGGGACGGAATAGAAGAGATGCGAAACGAGAGAAGTAAGACTGCTCATTAACAAAAGCAGTAATTTGGTTGTCCGTTGACGTCGCAAACACTTGTGGGATGAAATAATTACAGCTTTACAGAGCTGCTTTCCCAGGAGCGACCATGAGGTAGAACTCCTTCCCTTCCCTTCCCTTCTCCGCAGGTCCAACAACTTGGAATTTTCTCGAGAATGTCTTCCGATTGCCGAAGATTTGGAACTCTCTCCCCATAGCCCTCATCAACCCCACTCCCCACTCCCCCCCCTCCCCACCCCCGTCCCACCTCCTTCCCCTCCTTCCCCCCTTTTAGACTGAACGCCTTCCACCTCAACGCAGTAATAATCCCTCCAATAGTCCTCCCATTTGACACAGCGCCTCTCATCGGGTCTTCGAGACGTCTCAAAAGCGCTTCGCACAACAGTCTGTAAAGTGCAGCGGCTGCGGATTTTGTGGGCGACGGCAGCCGATTGCGCCCACACCCCCCACCAACACCCCCCCCACCACCACCCCACCCCGCCCCCCCCCACCTCCGTCGGGTACCACTTCACCGAGCGAGCGTTACCCTGGCAACCGCCTCGCGCGCGTTCAGCACTGATCAAAATGTCGCAACCGTGGCAACGAGGTAACCAATCGGTTGGCCAGACTCTCGACTCCGAGTCAGGGGACCACGGGTTCAAACCCCCACCGCACCCCATCCCACCCCACCTCACCCCCAACTCACGTCCGGGGGGCTTTTGAAGCTCGTAGTCAAGGGCGACCGCTCCAGCAGAGTGCTGGGGTAGGGTGGGGGGTGGGTGGGGTGGGGGGGGGTTGGGGTGGGGGGAGAGTCCATATTGTCGGATGAAAGATTAAACCTCACTCCCCATCTATGCCCTGTACAGGTGGACGTTAAAGATGTCTTGTGGCTCTGTCGGGGAAAGAGTTTCTACTCTGGTGTCCTGATCGACAATCCCACCACCACCACCACTACCATCACCACCACCACCACCACCACCATCACCACCACCACCACCACCATCACCACCACCACCACCACCACCACCACCACCACCACCACCACCCCCACCACCACCACCCCCACCCCCACCACCACCATCACCACCACCATCACCACCACCATCACCATCACCACCACACACCATCACCACCACCCCCACCATCACACCATCACCACCACCATCACCACCACCACCATCACCACCATCACCACCATACCACCACCTCACCACCATCACCATCACCACCACCACCATCACCACCCACCACCATCACCACCACCATCACCACCACCACCATCACCATCACCACATCACCACACCACCACCACCACCATCACCACCACCACCAACCACCACCATCACCATCACCACCACCACCATCACCACCACCACCATCACCATCACCACCACCACCATCACCCACCACCACCACCATCACCACCACCACACCACCACCACCATCACCATCACCACCACCACCACCACCACCACCACCACCACCACCCACCATCACCACACCACCACCACCACCACCACATCACCACCACCATCACCACCATCACCACCCACCACACCACCACCACCACCACCATCACCACCACCACCACCATCACCACCACCACCATCACCATCACACCATCACCATCAACACCACCACCATCACCATCATGACCATCACCACCATCACCACCATCACCACCACCACCACGGACAAACATCAATTACCCTCTCGCTCGCGCCCGTTTGAGGGGCAAATTGCCGTGCAATACGTTTCCCGAACAAAATACATCTGACGGCGTTTTTCTGTAAAGCACTTTGAGATTTTTAAGGACGATTTCTAATAATAATAATAATCCTCGCATTTGATATAGCGCTTTTCACGTCGGGAGGACGTCCCAAAGCGCTTCACAGAACCCACTGCAAAGTGAATTGACTGTATATTTGTGTGCGCAGCAATGTCCCACAAACAGTCGTGGGTTGAAAATGACCAATTTATTATTGTTTTTGGTTTTGATTCTGAGGCAGCGTCAAGGATTAATTAAGATTATAAAAATGAATTAGCTTCTGGGCCCGCGCGGCTCTCTCTCTGCCTCGCGTATAATACGTGCTAAATCCTGTTCGGCCTCCCCGCTGTGTAGTCCTCCCAGACAAAGGCGAAATAATCGGGCGTGAAGGGCACAGTGTAAATGCTAATTGGAGTCCCCGCGGTTGTTAGAGCGCTCGCCTCTCGAGCGAGAGGACCCGGGTTCGATTCACGGGCGGGGAGAAACCTTAGGGAAGTTTCCTTCCTCCGCACACGCACACACCCACGCGCGCACACACGCGCACGCACACACACACGCGCGCGCACACACACATACGCCTCTGTTTACCCGGCGGTAAGTAGGAACCCGGTTGTTAAGTCGATTGGCGGATCGCTTTTTTCCGGGGGTAACAATCCCTTCCAAAAAAAAATCACTCCATTCACGGCCGCGTGTTGGGACGTCGCTGTGCGCAATCGGCTGCCGCGTTCCGCCCCCAAAACGTGCAGTCGATTCACTCGACAGCGTATCCTGCGAAGGGCTTTGAGATGTCTCAACAATGTGATAAGGCGCTGCGTCAAATGCAGGGATTATTATTATTATTATTATTAAGTTGTTGCATTTTTACACCTGGAAATCGCCACCAAGGGACCGATTGACTGTCAGACACCCGGCTGACCCCCCCCTCCGCCCCCCACCCACCCCAACGCCCCCGCCCCCACCCTCAAAATCTCTGCCCGAGCTGCAGTGACTGACCTTCTCTTCCAGAATAGGTTCGCATTGAGAGTAGTTGATTCTGGACGCCCAGGTCCCATTTTCTACGCATTCCCTGTAGACGCTTCCTGCAAACACACCACACGGGAGGTTCAGCCACTTCACCGCAGAAGAAAGGTTTGCGACCCGCACCCGGGGAAAAATAATGGGGTTATTCCTCCCGATATCGCAAAAGATAATGATAATTTGATCACGCGCCTTATCGTGCCGGTGAGAAGTCTCAAAGCGCTTTGCAGAATACACTGTGAAGTGACTGTGTACGGTGTTTGCAGCCAATAGGGCACACACATCAATTCGGTCCCTCGGTGGTGGATCCAGGGGCCAAATTATTATCGTTATCTTTTACTGAAGCGATTATTACCTCCGCCAAACGACTTAACAACCGGGTTGCCGCTTCCTGCCCGGCAAACAGAGTAAGGAAAACTTGCCCGAGGTTTTGCCCAGCCGGAGACGTCGATGTGAGGCTCCATCCGGGCCGGTTCGGGTGGGCGTTAAAAGCTCTCTCCCCATTGGGAAAGGGAAAGGAGCAACCCACAAAACAGATGTCAAGAGTCTTTTTTTTTTACCTGGGGGGGGTGGAAATCGTTGGGTCAGGAGAGAAAAGCGTTCTCCTTGAACACTCCGTAACGCCCACCTGATCAGGCAGGCGGGGGCTTCAGCTTAACGTCTCATCCGAGGGAAAGCGCCTCCGTTAATGGTAATTCTCCATCCGAGACAAGACGGCTTGTCTCGATGGCAACTCCGCACCTGGAGACATTAGTCTTACATGAAAGACGCTGTATTAAAAAGCAGGTTGTCTTTTTTTTTTTTTACCGTTGCCGTCCCCTCGTTCTTCTTTCTTTCTTTCTTTCTTTCCAAGCGGATTGCTCAACGAGTTGAAAGAAATCAACAACAGATGGTCCCACGCTCTCGTTCCCGACAGGAATGGGCGAGGGTGTGTGAGGGGCACGTGGGGGGGGGGGGGGGGTGGGTGGTGCTGGGGGTAGCCGGGGAAATGATATCAATCCGTACTTTTGGTACGGCGCCTAATCACGTTGCGAGATCGTCCCGGAGCGATTCGCAGGGCACCGGAACCGGGCGTTTTGTGGGCAAACCCGGCGGCCGATTCCTACGCGGCAATATCTCACGAACAGCCGTGAGTGAGAGAGGAAACTCATCATAATAATAATAATAATAATAATACGTGGATTCGGTATAGCGCCTAACAAGTTTAGACGTCTCAAAGCGCTTCACAGGATATAATAATAATAATAATAATAATCCTTGCATTTGATATAGCACCTTATCACTTCTTCGAGACGTCTCAAAGCGCTTCACGGGACACACTGTCAAGTGTAGCGACCGTATGTTTTGTGGGTGAAACGCAAGTGCAAAGATTATTATTAGTAGTAGTAGTAGCAGTAGTATTATTCGGACAAGCTGAGGTGTGACGCCTCAACAGCTCATCATGACCCGGAGCTGGAGACGGCACTTTATTTTCTCGCTGCAATTTTCGTCCTTAAATGTCACGGTTAAGTGCCACCGTTCCATTACAACCCGGGAGCTCAGTGGGACCCTGAATGTGCCGTTCCTCGGAGGACCCTGAGCCTGGGGCGGTGAAACAGCTTCGCCCCGGCTCGGTTCATCACGTTCGCGCGGCCCGAAAGCTGAGCGCTGCTGGGCTTTCGGAGGTGCCGGCCTTCGGAAAGAGACGTCGAAACAGTCTGCCCGTACGGGTGGGTGTTATTGGCGGCGCGCGGGGGGGGGGGGGGGGTGGGGAGGTGGTGAGGTGCGTTGGGTGGGGGGTGGGGGGTAACTGTAACGGCTAAAACCGCGAAGCTTGCGGCCGAGAGCACTGACTTCCAACGAAACCCATTTAAAGATAAAGGTGATGGGTCCGACTGGGGTGAGGGAGGGCAAAGCTTCCCGTATAATTGCCAGTTAAGGTCCACCTGGCTCTCAGCGATAGCGCAGTGAGCAGCCGCAGAGGGCCGGTACACCGGGAGCTGAGAGTCGCAGTGCACATCAACGACCGTTGGAGCCGTCAACGCGCACACACACACACACACACTCTCGCACGCGCACACACACACTCGCACGCGCGCGCGCGCACACACCCGCACAGCCTGCGAACAAGAACCATGCCTTGCGCGCCCACGCGCTAGCGCACAGACGGGGATTAGAGCCTTATTAAGCTGCTCGGGTCCTCACAGTCTCATTACACCCCTCCTCAGCCAACCAGCCTGACAGTCACCCACAGCCCTCTCTCGACGCCGGCTAATTACCAGGCACCGAAATCCAAAAAAATAATCCTCGGAGCTGCTCCGCAAGTCGGGAGGATGACTTCGAGGCCCTTCGCGACACGAGCGAATTATTATTTATCTGCTAATCAATCCACGGCCGCTGTTGGCATTCGGCCGCGCGGTCAGTGCGCTTTGCGGCCCGTTCTCCGAAGGGCTTTGAGGCGTCTCAACGACGCTACGACGTCAAATGCAAGGAATGTTATTATTATCATCGTTATTATGATTGCTACAGATGTCCTCCCGATGCGAAAGGCGCTGTGCAAACATCTTGTATTGTGTTGGCGAGAGAGAGTTGCCAACTGTGCCAGACTGAAAAGGAGAAGGAACAAAAAAACAAACGGGGGCTGGAAATTATGCCTTCAGATAAGGGGAATGTGAAATCCTGCCAGAAACCGCTCAGGCACTGAACTATTCTAATAATAATAATAATTAAGAATAATAATAATAATAATAATCCTGGCATTTGATTTCACGGACGTCTCAAAAGTGCTTCATACTTCACAGAGTGAAGCACTTTGAGATGTTTAACGTCTCTTCCTTGGGAGGGTGGAGGGGGTGGGGTGGGGGGGTGGGGGGTGGGGGTTAGGAAGGTGCCTTCGAAGAGGAGGGTCTTGAGATGGGCCTCGAAGGAGGCGAGGGAGGGAGCCCGGGCTCCCGTCCTGTTGGCGTTCCAAACGCAGGTGAGGGCGGAGAGTCTGAAGGTCCGACCTTCGATGGTGGAGGTGTGGGCAGCGGAGGAGGCCAGAGCCCGCCGGGCGGAGGGAGCGGACGGGTCGGTAGGGGATCTGGGTGACACGTAACCCCCGGTGACCGCGCTTTGGGGGGCAAATGTGGAAGCCGATGTGTTGCGTTCTCTCTGCCCGTGTGCGTAGGGGTGTGTGTGGTGTGTGTGTGTGTAGGGGTGTGTGTGGGGTGTGTGTGTGTGTGTGTGCATTTCATAGAGCATCGTCAGATAATAATAGGCTGAGAATAATCGTTGCGGTCCACCTCCAAACACTGCTGATCGGGTGCTTCAAACCCACAGACCAGTCACTGGGAAGGGGGGGGTAAGGAATTCCCCCCCCCCCCCCCACCCCCCGACCTCTCCCTGAGCTCCCCCTTCGGAACATATCCCCCAACGCCATTCTTCCCTCCCAAGTCAGCCACCGAAGCTTCGCAAGGCTCTCAGCCCCATCTGCCGCAGCTCTTCCCGCCTCTCTTAAGCTGCTCCGTGTGCGTCTCTTTGTATTTTTTTCGCCCCCATCCTCTTCGCAGTTTGCAATGACACTTCGCATCGCGCCTCTCGCGGCCAAAGCCCTCGAACCGCTTCACAGCAATTACCGTCGAGTGCAAACACGTGTCGCTGCTACCGTCGGACTGCAAAGAGGTGTCACTCTTCGTATCACGTCTTCGAGACGTCTCAAAGCCCTTCACAAAACCCGGGGTCTCTCTCTCTCTCTCTCTCTCTCGTTGCCCCCATCACTTCCCGCACTGTCTCCTACTCCCGCTCCTCCCCCTGGTACACCACCCACCTCCGCTCACTGAAATGCCAGGTGCGGGCTGCTGAACGCACCTGTGTCAAATCTGGCCTAACGGTCCACCGACAAATCTGGCTGGACCTCCTCAAAATTTACCGCTCCACTCTAGCCTCGGCCAAGTCGTCCTTCTACTCCAGGATAATCCTGGAGGCGAAGAACAACCCCAGGCTACTGTTTTCCACCACATCCCGACTCCTCCGTCCCCCCCGCCACCCCGCGCAGGTCATCTCCTCCAACCTTCACTGCGAGGAGATGCTGGATTTCCTTGAATCCAAGATCAAGGGAATCCGCTCCGCGGTCACTTCCCCTCCAACTTCCACCCACCACCCACCCCTTCCCTCCCACACTCCGACTCCTACCCATCCTCCCCTACACACCTTCGTACCCGTTTCCCCACCCTCTGTCACTGAACTCATCCTATCCCTAAAACCAACCACCTGCTCCCTTGACCCCATCCCCACTCCACTCCTTATCTCCCAGCTCCATTTTCTTGCCCCACACATCACTGACATCATAAACCTGTCCCTCTCCTCTGGCTCTGTCCCCATTCCATTAAAAACTGCCATCATCACGCCCACCCTGAAAAAACCCTCCCTTGATGCGTCGCAGCTATCAAGCTACCGGCCCATCTCCAACCTCCCCTTTCTCTCCAAGGTCTTGGAAAGAGTTGTCGCCTCCCAACTGCGCTCTTTCCTCTCCACCCATTCTCTTTTTGAACCCCTTCAGTCAGGTTTCCGTGCTGCTCATAGCACAGAAACTGCCCTGGTCAAGGTCACCAATGATATCCTGACCATCTGTGACCAGGGCTCCCTCTGTCTCCTCGTCCTCCTCGACCTATCGGCAGCATTCGATACGGTCGACCACGCTATCCTACTCCACCGCTTGTCCTCCCACCTCAACCTTCAAGGCACTGTCCTTGAATGGTTTAGCTCTTACCTTTCCCACCGTCTTCACTTCGTCTCAACGAATGGCTTCTCCTCCACCCCCCGTACTGTCTCATGTGGTGTCCCTCAGGGCTCTGTCCTCGGTCCCCTCCTCTTCACCCTCTATATGCTCCCCCTCGGTGACATCATCCGCAAACATGGGGTTAACTTCCACATGTATGCGGATGACACCCAACTCTACCTTTCCTCCTCTACTCTCAACTCCACGACCACCGATGTCCTGACAGCCTGCCTGTCCGACATCGAGTCCTGGACGAGAGACAACTTTCTTCAGCTCAACGTGCGAAAAACCGAGGCC